AATATACATTTCATTCATCTTTCTTGACATGTAACAACTACATTCCTAATAGGGTGTATTTTCCATTACGTGATACATCTGTACATAGGAATTTAAATAAGATCTCCACATTATAACACATTAATACTGTTATCAGAGTGTGTAATATATAGAATAATAAATCTTCAATTTGATAAGGGTTATTTCTAATTAATATATCACCTAACCTGTTCGCTCTCAGAGGTAAATAATACGAGGAATGTCTTTTAAGTTTTGCATACAGAAACATAGTAGGCCGCGAGGATCGAACGTCAGTACTGAATCTTAACCTCACTCTTTAGTATACTTAAATTCAAAGTTTCACAACAATACGTGCAGTGTTGTCACTACAGTGAATTTTTAAGTGTCACCAAGTCATTAGAAAAATGGAGCTCAACCGAGAACATTTTCGCGCCATAATTTATTACAACTTTCAGAGACAATTATCGCAACAAGAATGCCTTGCTGAGTTACTGTCTGTTTTCGGCAACGAAGCGCCACATCAGTTGACAATTTCCCGTTGGTATGGTGAATTCAAACGTGGATGGGTGAGTGTTAGCGACGATCCTAGGGTGGGTGCACCAAAAACGACAGTCACCCAGGAAAACTTCGATGCTGTGCGCAAACTCATCATTGAAGATAGACATGTGACATATCGCGAGACTGAGGCATCCTTGAAGATCTCAAAGACCGCAATTCAAAAAATTATACATGAAGAATTAGGAGTAAGAAAATTATTTTCTCGTTGGATACCCCACCTGTTGACTGAACAGCAGAAAGCAGCCAGGGTTAATTCGTGTCAAAAAACGCTTGACCGTTTCAATTCCGGGAACTCAAAAAATGTGTTCAGCATTGTTAGTGGTGATGAATCGTGGATTTACTGTTATGAACCAGAAAATAAACGACAGTCGGCTGTTTGGGTGTTCCAAGGTGAAGAAAAGCCAACAAAAGTCATCTGTTCTCGAAGTGTTTCGGAAAAGATGGTCGCGACATTTGCGTCAAAAGCGAATCATATTGCAGCAATTCCTCTTAATGAGCAAATAACTGTTACTGCGGATTGGTATACCACCATTTTTTGCCAAAAGTCATCGCCGATTTTCGAAAAATCAACTCCGAAATAAGAACCATCCTCCACCAAGACAATGCAAGCTCGCACACAGCCCAAAAAACATGGCAGTGTTTGACGGAAGAAAACGTAGAATTATTGGACCATCCTCCATATAGTCCCGATCTAACTCCTAACGACTTCTTTACTTTCCCGAAAATTAAAAACAGACTACGTGGTCAAAGGTTCCAGTCACCAGAAGAAGCAGTTGACGCATTCAAAAATGCCGTTTTGGATCTGCCAGCAAACGAGTGGAATATGTGCTCGAAAATTGGTTCGAGCGCATGCAGATAGATGTGGAGAATACTTCGAAAAACAATAAAGTGATTTAAAACTACCACCGTGTTGTGGTATTTCCATATGCAAAACTTAAAAGACATCCCTCGTAGTTCATTGCATATCTAGTTTGAGAGAGCACTTTTGTAACCTGAACCGTATAGTGCTTAGAAATCTATCGATATCAGTAATCTTAAACGAGATATATTTAGAATTTGCGTCACTCCTATGAATACGATATATACGGTGTTTGAATGTTCAGTGTCAACTAAGAAAAATGACTTATTTCGTGCTCAAATTCATTATGTTACAAGACTTTATGATATGTGATACATATTTGACAGCGTCAGATAGCATTTTGATTTTGACAGCTTCTTAGGTACCGGGAGAAAATGTGTTGCCTTGGAGGTGACAATTAAACTATAAAAAAGATACCTTCAACATTATATAAACTCCATTAGATGAATAAATTCGATAGTTCTATAATAAATATAACAAGTCTTCAGTTCCATTGGTCTTGAAACAAGAGAATCGTATAGATTCAGAGCTTACAGGTCCTCAGGGTAGCGGTTATGTTTGGAAGCATAAACCGTTTTTGGTAGCGGGTCGCGGCCATTGCTTTCATTGTTTATAATATCTTTGTACAGTAATGACGAAAAATAGAAAGTAGAAAAAAGAGAAGAGTAGAAAAAATAATTAACATAAAAGAGAACTGACGGCAGGGTGTTTTTCACATAGTTGTAGTAGTGTACCATTGAAATTCACGAAGATAAGACACTATATGAGCAACTGACGCGTTCCTGGTTGCGGAAGCTGCGCTAGTTTCTTGATTTGCTACCCATTGAACAGGATCAAATCGCAAAATTATCACATTTACACAGAAATATGTAATTTGAATCGCTGAGGGTGACACGATATTCAAGAACCAATAAGAACGTGTTCTTATGCGATCATGCGAATGTTTAGATTCTCTTTTCATGGAAATATGTTATAGTAACCCTTATCAATGCAAGCGTGTTCTTATATTGTGATGACAGTTACATATAGAAAAAATTGTTGATATTTGCAGCAGTCGGCAGTGAAGCACACTCGGGGAATATACATTTTGTTAATTTTCAAGGATATTATGCCTAGACCTCAATAATTACATAAATTTCGCCATATGTGCCAAATGAAGCATGATATTCAACACTATTTCGATGGTTTGTTTTCAGAATTTGTCGATTTGCTTAAGCCTTTTTGATGGAACAATTAATTCCCAAATGCCATATATTCATCCATGTCACTGCATTCGATTTTACCAGATGTGAATATTTTCAGCCCTTAGTGTCATTTACCCTAGCATATACACAACGACATTGCATGTCAATTTAGTAACGTGATAATGTTTGTTGGTTATATTTTCATTCTGTTAGCATCAAAGGCCGTTTTCTTATCGGTTTCCGATAATCAATCTACTCAAAAACGACAAGCTATTTCTAACATTAGATATTTAAATATTTTGAAATATAAAGTTTAGTTATCATACAAACGAAGTATTAACTTCTTATCCCAGTGTCTGTTATACACTTTCAATTTCTACACACTCCTGGAGTGAACCAACAGGTGTTAAAAAATATCTAAACGAATTAAAAATGTTTCGGCATCTATTTTATGCTTCCCTGAGGGCTACAAAAATATGAAAAGGATACTATTAAAATTGTAAATATGGTAATGAAGTAAAAAAAGGTAAATATTTGTTTGTTGTTTCTTTTAAAACTGGAATTCAATGTTTCCTTGTAACATACTGTTCTAAAGAAAACATTTTTAACTTGTTGGATTCTAATTATATTATAACATGTACGCACTTTTATTGCGATCGTTTTTATTTCTGCGTTCTATAGTTCTTAGATTAATCTGGCCAGACACACATGGGGAATTATCGACATGAAAACCTCAAGATCAGTTTCAGATGTTACATGAGTTCTTATATTCTTGTCAATTTTCTTAGTGATTCCATTTAACTGCCTTTTTTTACTTCATTGCTATATTTACAATTTCGAACATTTATATTATCTCCTTCACATTTTTCTTAGCCCTGAGGAAGGCGTAAAATAAACGCCAAAGCGTTTGCAATTTGATTAAAGACATTTTTAGCACCTGCTGATTTAGTTATCATAGTGATATGAAGGAGATGGGATACAATCTTGAATGACATTCATTATTTAGGTACCTATGGAGAGAAAATATACTCAATTGCTGTCAATAATGGTGATTTCTCCGTTTAGTGGTCGAAACAAGAACAGTACCGGATTTTTCTAAATTAACCCTTGAATATTGAATGGGAAGAAAATGACTGAGTAGCCTTGGAACACTAGCCGCGCTTCGACTTTATTTACTTTGGAGGTGGAGAGGTTGCAGGTTGTGTAGAGCTCTGAACAAGTGTCGCAGATACTATTTTTTTTTTCATGTAAGTATCGTTTCTACAAAGACGTACGCCGTAGCATTGTTAAAAGCTCCAGCGTTGTCCGACACCCACACATGCAAGCTCACAGCTTTTGGTACCGAGGAGGCTAGTTCAAGTTAAGCTTTGCAATAGTCGTCTGCGGTAATGTTTTTAATTACTTCCTAGGCCGCAGGGAAATGAGTTTACTGATTTTACAATTTGTTTTGTGCTTACTGGGGTTACACCCATTCCGGTATTATGCTTTCAACATATTCAAAATCGTGATAAAGGCAGCGGCACGACTTGAGGTTTTTATATCTGAATAAAAACTTCGAAAGAGATGGCATCGTTTAAAAGTTTTCACTTTCATTGGTGGCTTCCCCAATGACCTCGTTCATCATCTCCGTCTTATGCTTTTTGAATAGACATCATCACAGCCATCCTCTTGCTTTCTTTCCTTCTTGTTTCACCAATTTGGTTATGTGTATGTCTTCATTGAGGCATAACATGTCGAATAATACTCCAAAATTGGTTTTAGACAATGTAGAACAGTGCATGTAAAGCAACTAAATCATAGATACCTTGTCAAAAATGGCGTCAAGTAGATTGACTGCACGTCCCCGCAACGATGTTACCATCTCATAAAGGATTACTTTCGTCACAAGTTGATCCATTTGAGCTAGCCACAAACATAATATATAACAAAAAAAAAATCGAATGGATCAAGTCAGTCAATCAGGCACATATATTTAGTGCATACTCTAGAGTATCCGCCTATTTATTAACCCTAAAGCCAGTTTGTTCCCTGTTCTAAGTATCGACCATCTAGCAACGGTGCTGAACACACAGGAGCATGAATGTTGCCGTCGCCCCGACCTATCGCATGTCCCGTATGTAAGTATTAGTTTTAAGGGTAAATGTACTGAGAAATCTGAGATGTGTGACATATTAGGGCATTTAGGCAGCAGCGGTGGCCGCAGTAGTAGACTCTTCGGTCTCCTGATCAGTCGGCGTGCACTGTGCGGGATCGAATCCCGTTCCAAGAGAAATTTTTATCTTGGCTATGGATGTTGTGATTGTCCGTAGTTGGTAGACGGTCTGTGACTGTCGAACGCGGAGGTACCACCCGGCGGATCTCGTAGGCGGAGCCAGAATATGTGCATGTTGCATGCACAGGTGTTCCCTCGCCAGAGTCCGTGGCGTTCCCCTTTCCCCTGTATCTCCTTATAGCCCCACGGTACCCAATGGGTACCAGGGTTGGTGGTGCATAACTAAATGCTGCAGCCAAAAAATTAGATACACCCTCCCCCACTCCTACCAGACCCAACCCCCGATTGTTAACCCCGACAGATTTTTATCATTATCCGGAGTTTCTAAGACGTCAAAAAACAAAGTGTGGATGATTTTTTACTTTTTCTGTTTTTGCCCTCCACGCAGCGACCACTGGAATAATTTTTAAAAAACTACAAAGATTTTTTGTCCTTGGCACAGTAGTTATCCCCTGTGGAAATTTCATCAAAATCCGAGCGGTAGTTTCCAAGTTATAGACAGGCCAAAGATTAGCGAACAGAGATACCGTAACAGATCGACCGACAGACCGACAAACATGTGATGTACATGTCATAATATAGCACCCAAGAAACATAATATCTCATTTTCACTATTACAATCCTTCCTCGCCAGTAGGCGTGGGAAGTAAAACACAATCACGCTCCTAAGGTAACCCCTCATAATTGTCCAAGTGACTAAGAAACTCGATAAGATTGGAATTTTTATTAAACTTTGCCCATCGGGATTGTGGCAGACATGACATCTTCTGAAAACGTGTGAGATGAAATTTATGATCTAGATTTCTAGATGGCTGAGAATTGTAAAATTCTTCGGTTATCCAACCACTACTGATTTACATCCAAACAACAGCGTTACCGACTACTGACATTGTAACTGGTCATCCTCAGCTTAGAAAACATTTAAGCTAAGCAGTAGATCGCTCTGTAAGAACAGAATAGAAGAAGATGAGATCTTGTCGTGTCAGTTTCACCTTGCCCTAAATACGGGTATGCCCTCATTCCATAAAAAAACATCATAAAATATTTCATCATATTTTTTGATGAAAATCCAATCTCGTCCTTATTGAAACTATCAGAAAACACCCAATGCAATACAATGACTTGTGGATGCAAGGTTATTCACTTACTAAGTCGGCAAACGTTTTTCAAAGTAGGTAGGTATCTAAAAATTCATAGGACCGCCGCAACATTCACAAACACTGTACACATTCACTATAGACGTGCCTCAACTGCAATGTATGTATAATGCGATAAAGTATATCGCTCACACTACTTTTCATAATAAAAGTAATCCCTATTGATATCGCAGGCCATAAAGTGCCCCGAGGATCTGGAACGAGGCGATTATGGTGAGAAATGTGAATTGACGGATCGTATACTTGATTTTTTACAGCGTTCAGTGTTGCGTGACACATAAGGGTGACGATCTACACGTCAGATTGAATAAAGAGGCAAGAATATACCGGGTGAAAAAAGTAACCGAACGGCTCCGTATTTTTTAAAAAAAGGTCAAGGGCAGGTATGCGCTAGTCCTGGCTAAGAAGTCCAATGGTGAGCTTGAATTTGACCTTAAGCAAGGTTATTTCAAGGATAACTTCTTGAAGCCTGCTTTTTGAAATCGGCAATGGAAAGAACGGGAAATTATACGTGTTGAAGTCTGTCATATGTAAAGATCAAATAAATGTGAGGCTAGGGAAGATTCGTAGAACCGCATCCTGTAGTTTCCATACTGACAGGAATCCATGGTTATCTGATGAGATGTCACACATACAATAAAATATATCGTACAGTATCAATTATAGCTGAAAAAGGCCACCGTAGTGGTCGAAGAGTCGTCAGTAATTTGAACCAAAAGCAAAATTTGTAAGTTGTCTTTTACTCTCTAGCTTTGCTCTTCCTAGGCAAACAATGATAACAGAAAAGCACCCAGGTAAATAATTGGCATTATTTAAAATTGTCTGCTAACTTCTTGATGTCACCTTGACAATTAAACTTTATATACAGAAATACTTGAAATCAAGTGAGAAATAATCATCATTATGTATGGTGGATACCAAATAAAACCCGATGCACGTCATCGATCTGGAGCTGTGCGCTGTTGCCAGAATTTGCACATTTTCTTTTAAGCAAATAAATTTAATAAAATAAATTGTTTATATATACCTACCATTTACTATAATACCATTATATTAAAAATAAATAAACTTGTTGTAAAATTACATTCCTTTCTGAATAAAAACACCTGATTTTGGTAGATATTCAATGATATGAGCTCTTTACACCGACTGTTAAGTTGTTTTGGCATTTTGGATACTTTACACCACTTCACAGTAACTGTTGTTCTGAAAAGAACAATTTTTAATTGGCAAGGCAACGATTCAAAGCTCAAATAGCGCAAAACTCACAAACTAAACAATAAAGAACTAATAGTACGACAAAAGGACAATGGCAACTGATGTCAACAAATGAGAAGTGGCAACCTCACATTTCTCTGCACGGCACTACCAACCGAATCGAGACGGGGAAATTTAAACTTCAAGTAGAAATGTCACATTGAATGTAGTCAACTGTTGGTAACCATGATTTTTATGAATGACATCACCTATGACGTGCATCGGATTTTATTTGGTATCCACTATACAGATCGTCATACAGCTACCCTTCTTGATTGTTTCAATAATCGTGGGAGTATTGTGAAACGGCTATTAGAGCTACTCCATATAACTTAAATGGGCTAGTTCACCGATCTGCTTTCTATTGCAATCACTTAGGTCTCGTCATTTAATACCAGGCCATTAAATATTTTGCAGTATTTATAAAATGAAAATGAAATGATAGTTAATTTACGAATACGTTAGAGCAAATTTGCCACTATACAATGAAAATATTTAAATGTAGTAATATTGTAATATCAGTAGTGAAAACAATCTTATATACGTATATCGTTTGAAGAGGTCAATATTGATCCCTAACATTATATTCGTCGGCGCTATGCGCCTCATTGATCCAAAAATAATGGCTTACTTCTCAACCTAGGTATGTAATGTACTATTCTGCAGACCAAGGTACGCACATATAAGTGTTGAATCTGTTTTAGCATTTGCTAAGTGACTGAATGCATAGGGCGTAAAGGAGATTAGATAGTGGCAGGATTAATTAGTTTCTGTAGTTTGGCCAAAACAGGGATAAATAGCGGTTTTCGAAAATGTTGGTTCAGGAAATGAAATAGCCCTGAAGTGATCCACAAAGAATCGGTTCGTATTTGTCAAAAAGTCAGTGAAAGTCTTGATACTGCACACTGTCATCTGAACCTGCATTATTGTGAAACATTTGAGTCTAGCAGAAGACGACTCTACGAGCCCCTTCCCACTTCAGTTGGCCCAACCATTGAAATCTTAGTTTTTTTCTTATCAAACACAAATAATGCGTGTTATAGGTTTAAAATATTAGCAATGAATATTTTGATAATATATAGTAGAAAAACCAACTTTATCACTCCCTAATCAAATTTGCAGCATAAAAATAACACATGTTGCAATTACCCCATATCAACCTATTTTCATTTCAATGCAAAATAAGTCTAAACGCATGGGTGGCTGTGAAAAATAAAAGCACATGACAATTGTTTTTATTAATCACAGCTTTCAGAATACGTTTAAAATAGTTTTGGGTAGTTAAGGTTTTCAAAATGGGCAGAGGAAAGGTTATTAGTGAGAAAATTCGGTAACTGATAATTAATTTTTTTAATTCTGTGAAATCAAACTCAGAAATTGCAACTTTGTTAGACTTATCGCGGTACAGTGTGAGAAATATTGTTAGAAGATATAACGTAACTGGTTAAGTTAATATTAAGCCACGATATGTTGCACAACTTGTTTATAGGCCAAAGAAAAGCCACTATTAAATCCACTGCAAAAGAAAAATCGGTTTAGATGGGCTAAAGAACATAGACAATGGACACCTCAACAATGGTCTGCAATACAATGGAGTGATGAGGCCCGATTCGAAGTTTTTGTTGGTGACAGTCGCAGTAGAGTTATTCGCAAAAAAAATGAAGCTCTCCATGTTGACTGTCTGAAGAGAAAAGTGAAATTTCCAGCATCCATTATGGTCTGGGGCAGTATGTCATCAAAAGGAGTAGGAAAACTTCATTTTATTGATGGAAATGTGGATACAAACAAATATTTGGCAATTTTAGAAGAATCGCTTTTACCAGTGATGGTATGGAATGTTTGACATCCGGCCAAGTTTTGTGTTTCAGCAAGATGGTGCAGGCTGCCATACCTAAAAAAAGGCTATAAAATGGATGGAAGAAAATAATGTACCACTTTTGAAATGGGTTTCTAGCAGTCCAGATCTGTCACCTATTGAAGCTTTGTGGCACGAGATGAAAAAGGTTCTACGACAACATCCTGCTCGTACAATCACCGAACTGAGACAAAAGCTTCAAGAAATATGTGAATGTTTTACACCAAATTTTTGCCAAAACTTGGTTAACACTATGCCCCAAAGAATTTCAGCCGTAATAAAAAATAAAGGTGATGTTACCCAATGGTAATCTTTCAATTGTTGCTTTGTTAACTTCGCGGAATTATTCGCACATTGTTTATTTGTTCAGATGTTCTATTAGTTATAGGTCTAAGTGATTTCAAATAGGTATTTTTTACGACTAGAGTGTATCTAAAATGTTTTTGAGAAAATAAATTGTTTTAGAAGTAAATAGTTTCGTCATGTTTAGTTTATAAAGGCATACTTTGGTACAAATCTTGAAGTGGGCCAACTGAAGTGGGAAGGGGCTCGTATAGAGAACACGACTGTAAAGGCTTGGTAGAAATTTAGATTTTTGGTATGCCTCAACTCTGATGATGAAAACTATGGTTACCTGCGACGTGGACCTGGTAGACTGTATATAAACCTGAAAAGAGTCAAATATTACGTGCTGGATTTGCATTACACTTACTGCAAGCGGAATCCGCCTACCACTTTTTCAAACACCCATTACGACCGACAACATGCAGAAAAGCTTTTTGCTTGATACTAAAATTCCCTCACGCTCATGAGCCTAGGTACATAAACACGCAGATAAGTAAAAATAGAGTATGTGAATTATTTAAAAACGGCAAAGGTGTCAACAGAGCTTTTGCATGAGAATAAAAGCATTTACTCTCCCGTTTACTTAGTCCCCGGGCAAATTTTAAAAACCTTCAGTTGACTCAACTTCTATTTGGATTTCTTTAGAGCATACACATGAATAGGGCAGCTTGACTGGAAATTGAACATTGCGACCTTGACTGAATCTCAAGGACACTTAGAGTCAAATAATTGCATTGTTTCAAAGATAATTTCTCTAATTAAAAAACGGGTTTCTTCAACGTAATCTGAAGATAAT